CTTATATATTAATATATAAATCAACAAAATAACAAAAACAACCCAAAACTCTGTATAAACAAAATACATTAACCTTATAATATGTGCCCATAATTATGAAAGTAATCTAACTCATAGTATATCTCTTGTTTCGAGATATTCAAAGGATTACAATTGAACATTAAAAATGAATTCTATATAATATTGAAATATAACATAACACTATCTAACGTTTCATTTTTAACAATATCGCGAAAATTACATTGAATTAATTTCATTTAAGATAATGTGATGTGAAATAACTAATAAATTGATTTATTTTTAAAATTATTAACTATAAGACAACTTTCATAATTATGATCACATATATAAATCAATCCAATCCAACATAATAATAATAATAATTTTTAAAAATTACCAATAAACTAAGTTAATTCATTCATTCATAAATAAATATTATTTCATTATAACAACACCTGTTTTTAACATATAATAAATCAACTTCAATATAATTAACAAAATTAAATCAATTCACATAAATAAATATTAATCTATTATAAAAAAAACCTATATATTAATATATAAATCAACCTATATATATAGTCAACCTATATATATATTTAAAAACAAAATACATTAACCTGATCATATGTGCCCATAATTATGAAAGTAATCTTAGTCATAATATATTTCTTGTTTCGAGATATTTAAAGGATTACAATTGAACTTTAAAAATGAATTCTATATAATATTGAAATAACAAACATTATCTAACGTTTCATTTTTAACAATATCGCGAATATTACATTGAATTAATTTCATTTAAAATAATGTGATGTAAAATAACTAATAAAAACTCATTTATTCTAAAAATTATTAACTATAAGACCACTTTCATAATTATGATCACATATATAAATCAACTCAATCCAACATAATAACAATAATAACAATACTAACAACGATAATTATAATACAATCATATTATAACACATATATAAATAAAACAATAAATGTATTCTAACGTAAAAGAGAGAGGGGGGTTGATTTTCTCGAGTAAGGGCGTTCACGAAGATCAAACGATTTCCATTCTAACGTGGAATCAATATTATTGGATTGTTTCGATAACGCCTCGTAAATATAATAAAGCCTTCGACGATGTTTTACCCTTAGTTTTACCCACCTCCAGCAGACCCAATCCCCCCCACTCGTGTACAAACTTAACCAACAGTAAGCACTCGTACTATACTAGCTCAGGTACGAAACCCATAAGAAAGATAATGGTCGAAGCCCTAGGCAGCCGGTGATGGTGGTGGTGGTGGTGGTGGGCATGGTTGGAAGAAGAGCTTCGCTTACCTTCCCCTTTTTTTTTTCCATTTTTTTTTTCCCTTCTTTTTTTGCTTTCTAGCCCCTTAATCCCCCCACCCCAAGTCTCAGTCATTCTGTCTCTATTTCTTTCTCTGTCACTCTTATACTGCTTAGCCGTTCACGCAACCATACACACGGTGTTTCTCTCTCCCCCTCCCTTTTCGGTTGAACTCTCCCTCACCACAAGGCAACGCGCAAGGCAGACCTGCCGACCAACAGAAGAACCAACTCACATCAGTGAGTTTCAGCTCGAGCCGGCGAGCGTTTGCCTCTCTATTTCTATCTCTCTCTCTCTTTGTATTTGTATTTGTATCTGTGTGTCTGTTTATTTTTCTCAACTTTTTCATTATCTTTCGTACGATGACTTAACGTTAATTCGCGTTACTTTGATATATCATCGTTATATAATAAATTGTCATCGCGTTTGATTTTTATTCATACTTTTTTTTCTTTCTCTCAAAGAAAGTAAAGTTTTTTTAATTAATTTTAATTAACATTATATATTTTATTTTGGTTTGTTTAATTAAAACAATTGTCGTATATTGTTAAAATTGATTAACGAAAGATACTTGTGTGTTTGTGTGTGGTGATACGAATTATTTTAATACAGTTATATGTGCGTTACGCGTATGTGTATGTGTGTGTTATTATTATTATTATTATTTCACATTGAGGAATAATATTACGAATGAATTTTTTTGGATTCACGTGAGACATCGATAATTGTGCGTGAAAAAGTTTTTAAGAATTTCTTGTTTTCTTTTTTTTTTATTACGTTATTGGATTATTATTTATAAATAATCGAATTGAATAGAATTAATAATAATAATAGACGTATTTATAATAGAAGGAGGTATATTATAGAAAAGATTGAGTGATTTGAACGAGCGGTAAGAGGATGTCGCGATGCAAGGACCACCCGGTTGTCCGTCGAAGTTCCTCGAGAAGTGCGTCGAGCTGACGAAGTTTCGCGTTGAGATCTCAACGCGAGATCCTGATCCTGGACCGTGAGTGGAATATACATAAGGAAGAAGGATACTTCCTTATTGATTAATCTATCAATCATTAATGCGTTATTGGATATGACTAATAATCATTTATATACATATATATATGTATATGATTAATATTTCGAATCATTTTATTTAATTTGTTTTACAATTTTCTATTATTTATCGTCATTTCATATGTTTACATATTATATTTTTCTATAATTTCATTTAACGCAAAACTATCATGAAATAGTTCGTTCGAGTGTCAATAGTGAAATTCATTGGATAATTAAAACATTGATTGAAAACAAAAAATAAGGATCAATCTAACGCGAGTGTTGTTGATTGGGGTTGGTTTTGTTATGTGTGTGTTTATATACTATTATATTCGTCGTTGAGTTTAAACATTAACTTCGTGGGAAATAATTCGTTCGTCCTTGGAAAATTATCATTATGGAGGACATAAGCGTGAGTAGACATTTGTTCTTTTTTTTTTTTTTT